TTGATTGCAAAAAGATTGAAAATAGAGTCGTCTACTTTTTTAAAAAGCGAAAAGAGTTGTTACACGTTTTTTCGAAAGGTGTGTTTGTAGGGTTTTGCAAGTGGCGCAAGATCTGTAATTTAGATTAATGGGCACAAATGTTCACAATTAGCCAGAATACAGTCATGGTTCCTATATATGGATCCTGGAGACAACGGAACGGTCCTCAAAAAATTCGGAACATCTGTAAAAGTGGTCAATCCATGAACCTGATCCTAGAGCTCTGCGGGTTTTTTTTTAGACATTAGGAACTGTGATATAAAAAAATATTAGTGGTACATGTACCTGGATGGCCATGAGACCGTCCTCCGGAAAATCCGGAACATCCGCAAAAGTGGACAATCCATGAAACTGATCCTAGAGCTCCACGTTTTTTTAACATTAGGATCTGTGATATAAGAATGAATTTGGGACATGGACCCAGATGGCTTTAGGACCGTCCAGCGGAAGATCCGGAACATCCGTAAAAGTGGTCAATACATGAAACTGATCCTAGAGCTCCGCAGTTTTTAAAAAACACTAAGAACTGAGATGATAGAATAAATTTGGGATCGTGACATAAAAATGGACCTTGATGGCCATGAGACCGTCCTCCGGAAGATCCGAAACATCCGTGAAAGTGGAAAATTCACGAAACTGATCCTAGAGCTCCGTGGTTTTCTTGAAAACGTTAGGAACTGTGATATTATAATGAATTTGGGATCGTGACATAATCAAGGACTCAGATGACCATCCGACCGGCCTCCGGAAGATCCGAAAAATCCGGAAAAGTGGTCAATGTGTGAAACTGATCCTAGAGCTCCACGGTTTTTTTCGAAAACACTTGGAACTGTCATATATAAATTAATTTGCGGTCGTGACATAAACATGTACCTAGAAGGCCATGGGACCGTCCTCCGCAAGATCTAGAACATCTTTTAAAATGGTCAATCCTCGAAACTGATCCTAGAGTTCTACATTTTTTTTCGAAAGCATGTGGAACTGCGATATAAGAAAGAATTTGGGGTCATGACATAAACATGGACCCAAATGGCCATGGGGCCATCCTCTGGTAAGTCCAAAACATCCGTAAAGCAGGTCAATCAATGAAACTGATCCTAGAGCTCCGTAGTTTTTTTTTCCAAAAACATTAGGAACTGTGATATTTGTGGTCGTGACAAAAACATGAACCTGGATGGCCATGTGTACAGATCTTGCGCCACTTGAAAAACCCTACAAACACACCTTTCAAAAAAAAGTGTAACAACTCTTTTCGCTTTTTAAAAAATAGACTCTATTTTCAATCTTTTTGCAATCAAAATCATCTACAAACCCTAGGAATTCTAAAAATACCACAATTTTTGAAATTCATTAAGAAATTGCTAAGTTATGACATTGCAAACTTGCCGTTGCCGTTTTTTACCCACCGTATTCGGAGTGTTAATTGGTGCATTTTACTCCTTCAGGGATTCCCTTGTTAGGGCATAGTCAACTGAGAATAGAACTTGTAAACAACCTTGCGTCCGCATGATCACGTACTGCTGATGAAGAGAAAAAGGGTGATATGCAGAACTCCTCACCATTGAATCACCTGCATCAATGCGCACCTATAATGCATTAAAAGCTATAACTTTATATTGACTTGTTCTTCCTTGTCAACGATGAAATTTAAAGGATACGAAGAACATTCAAATTATGTATTCCCCCATGTAGTAAAACCGATTCAACCACGGTAAGGCAAATCGTCATCGATGAAATAAAACAACTTCTGCCTAACTCAATCACACGCCATTCCCATGCCGGTCACGTCAATCAAGCTTGCCTACATGTGTTTGGATTTGGCTACGAGCGCGCCACAAACGAAGAAAACAAATTCTTATAGTGATTCCAGCTCCGTCCTCCGCAGATATTTTCTTCGTTCTCTTGCCACCCATTTAGGAAGATCTCTTAGCACCCTCTTTTTATGTATTCCTCCATTTCGAGGATCGGTCAGTCAGTCAAGTTGACGACGGCTGAGATGAATGATAATGTCACCCACCACCCGTCCGTTGATCCGTGTGGCAAGTTTAAACGGGTGAGGCCGATGGGAGTGGGAGCCGCTGGGCCGAGGTTTGATTTTGGTTTCTGTCACTTTGTTCGCTTGGTTGCGTTTGTCACTTTGTTCGCTTGGTTGCGGTTATCGTGTTGCACTGGCGAAATATTAATGATGATCTATTGTCCACGAAGGCACGCTCCGTATCTGGGTTCTAAATCATTTCCGTTCGATAGGTGAAACGGGTTGTTTATTAATAATATTAGCTGGGTCGCTGTCTAGCATAGCGAAAAACTTAAATATGTTTGTGTTAAAGAACGTTTTCTTGTGTTAAAGAACGTACAATTACACTTCCTTGCTACCTCGATTACTACCTCACATAGCAATAAATAATAGTCAGATCCGAGAAGAAATATGTGTTCTAGCTGTTTCATCGACATAGTTGTTCTGTACAGGGCTGGCAAATGTAATTTTCAATGAAAGATCTCACGCGATGTAAATACTTACAATGTTTTGCAAATTTTACTGCACTTTACTTACTACTTTACTTACTTTATGTTGGCAAATTTTATTCCAGTTTGAATAGCATCAAGCATGGAGTTAGTTTTTAACATATCATTACTCTTTTTAATTTATGATTTCTGTACAAAATCCATTTTAGAAGCAGAAGCAGCTTCCTAAGTCAAAATTATCAAAATTTCCGTTAGAATTATGCTGGCTAGTATGTATTTTGATTTCTACCCGTTGTAATACCAGTATAGGTAGCTCTATTTACTCGCTGAACATTGCTAACAACGAGGGGAGCAGGTAAAGATGAAGAATTTGAAGCAGCGGTGATATTTTTACCTACGGGTACGCGTTTCCTACCTGTCGCTTAGAACGAGATTGTAGGATCGCTTTGCGAGTCTTACATTCCCAAAAATTGAATTTGTGGTTTTCACCACAATTTGAACTTTTAAAATTCTTAGGATCTTGCTTCACAGGACAGTCGTCCTTTGCGTGAGAGGAATCACCACAATTCATGCATTTAGCTGGCATGTAGCAATTTTTGGTTCCGTGACCCCATCCCTGGCACTTACGGCACTGGGTGAGGTATTGGAAATCTCCTCCAGTCTTCCTAAAGTGTTAGGACTTCACTCGGACATGGAGCATAAGGCTAGCTTATTCTAAGGCCTTAAGGTTGTTTAGCTCACTAGACTTGAAGTGAACTAAATAATAATCATTAGAAATCCCTTTGCGCGAATTGCCAGGACGGGATTTCATTTTCATTTTGATTACTTGGACTGACACAACTACAAGTAATTTTGCCAGTTCACCTTTGATCTGATCCAGGGATTCACCACTGGGCAGTTCTTTCATGACAACCCTGAACACACGTTCAGTTTTGGTGTCGTAAGTAAAAAAATTATGTTGCTTCTCAGTAAGATACTTGAGAAGACATTTGAATCCGTCCAAGGTTTCAGCCAATACGAGGCATTCACCCCGACGGCCAATTTGCAGTGAAAACTTGAATTTCACAAAGTTCAAAAGTTCCGTTCGAAGAGCATGGAAATCGGAAGTGGTTATCACAATAGGGGGAATCTTTTCCTTCTTGGCATTAAGCCGGGAAAGTTTACTAGAATTTTTCCTGGATGATGGATCATTCACATCACCCATGGCAAGAGGGCTGTGCCTGTTTTTTTTTAACTGAACAATGATACCAACTATACTCTGCTCAGTAATTAAACACGGTCGCTGCTAGGTCACAAAGGTCACTGACACTAGGTTACACTATCCAAATGGAATCGATTGATTAATCAAATGGTCGCGTTAATTGAAAAATAAAAGTAAAATCTATAAGAAAAACCCGAATTTATCCACCTATGGTGTGATCAGACCCTTCTTACTTATTCAAGTTTATTTATTTTATTGTCATTATCAGTGACCAAGCCCCCCACCCCCGTGTCATCCAGTGACGCTACGCCACTGCCTGGGGGTAACCGGAATATATCCGGGTGTAGTCTATTTGGTGAGGCTACCAATCACCTTATCATCGTATTTTAATGTGATTTAATGGGTTTTAATTCAATTCACATTCAAGCAACTTCCCCGGGGTACCCGGAACATGTCCAAGTGTGTCCAATGTGGTCTGGAACACTTAACACGACTTGCATTGATCTTATTTTTGAATTCTGTAGTAATTTGATGTGTCGCATGATGGTTTTAATACGTTTTCCCTTAAATCCAGCGTGAAGGTCCATATTCACCGGATCTTATTCCGGCCATATCTCCGGAACCGGTTCACCGATTCCAAAACCGTTCCTTAGCGTTCAATGGGACCCCAAGACCTATCATTTGGCGCCGAGTTTGTCCAAATCGGTTGAGCGGTTGCTGAGAAACGTGAGCGCATTCATTTCGTTACATACACACACACACATACACACATACACACGTACACACACACACACACACACACAGACATGTTCCGATCTCGTCGAGCTGAGTCGAATGGTATATGCCTCGGATCGATAGTCGGTTTTTCAAGTGATATCTATACCCTTCTTTGTAAGAAGGGTAAAAAGATACTACTCTCTAGTGCAAAAAAGCTTGCTATTGTACCCACGATAATCTTATATGTACGCAAAAATAGAAAATAAACACTAATAGAACTCGTTCGGAGCAGCGCGAAAACCCAATTACATCCAGGCGATCAGTGGAGCCATGCCAAAGGCAGTGTCTCTTATTTTATAGCTTCTTGCTTGTTTACGATTTATGACGCTCTCAAACTGACAAATTGACGCACAAACTTCCCCGGTCTATTCTCCTTGGCGAGCAATGTAAAAGAAATTCCCAAAACGTAATTTCTCAATTATGCGAGTCCAAAATAATCTCCCCCATTAACCGTAGGAGATATATCCGTAGCTGCGTATTCATGTTCAATCATCCATATCTATTTTCTATCCATTTTCAGATGTTTACTCACAAACGACCTAATTGGATTAGCGGGCATGTTTGTCCAGATGTACTTGCACCTCTACCTGCCAAAGGAACTCGTCAACAAGAATATGCATCACTTTTGCATTTTCCGGGTGATTTGGCGCGTGTTCGGGATAAGTTCCGGCTGTGTCGCGTTCGTCATGGCCCTGGAGCGGTACATTGCACTCACGAAACCGTTCTTCTATCATAAGGTAACAAAACTAACAAAAACACCAACGACGGCTAGTCTAGAGACTCATCATTCGCCCGATTAGGGGGTAGTTTATTTCTTTTCTAAGCTAATCGATTCCCCTTATTTTTCCTAAGACACTGTTATTATTGGGCGGCCGTGTATCGATCGTTGGGCGGGGGTGATTGATTTCATCACATTTTAACACTTTTCCTTCTCCATTTACCGCCTCCCAGCATGTGTCCGATAAAATGATAAGGAGATCGATATTTCTACTCTGGGCGGTGGGAGCATTCTTCACGTTTCTTCCTTTGTTTGGCTTTGGGATCTACTATGACGAAGGGAAGCAAACGTGCATCCGATATCGGGACGCCACTGACCCGAAGGACGTCGCCTACGCCTATCTGTTCTTCGCCGTCGGTAAGTAAAATGAGCAGCAACAGCTTCGTCGTCGTCAGCGTCCTTGTGGTAGCAAACCGGTCTAGTTAATTAATTTTCGATCCGGTCATAGTTCAAGTCTGAAAGTCTGATGCTTTTGACGCATTTCGCGCCAAATCGTATTCGGAGCTGGCAGCACCCTCTCAGATTTCAATGAAACTTTCTGGATGTGTGGACCTTGACTAAATATGCCACTTTGCATAATTAGTTTTTCCAAAATTTATCTAGACTAACATTTGGGAAGGGCCAAACTTTTTCTGCCGATTTTTTTCAAAAAAATATTATGGAAAAATGACAACTCCTACAAAAATGTATTGTATGGATGACTTTTAGGAAATTGTCCAAGTTATCGAAAAAAAAAATACTGAAAAAAATTTCATTTGAGACCTACACTAAAAAAAAATCGATTTTTAAAATTTAAAGTCGATTTAAAAAAAATGGCCATGTTTGATTTGGATGAAACTTTGCCTCAAGATAGGTAATTATGTTTACTAGCAACTGTCCATACATCGCAAGATGGGCACTTGTAAGGAAAAAAAGTTTTTTCTTACAAAAACTTTTTCATGTCTGAACTGATTTTTTTTTGTCGTTTTCACACAAAACTAACCCAGTGAAGCTCAAAATCATCTCAGAATCCAATAAAGCTCAATTTGCGATACAATTTTGTCTAATCAGCACTTAATTTCACTTTGATTAATCGAGAATTTCATATGAAAAGGGCTCATGATGCATTTCTCGCCAAATCGTATTTGGAATTGGCAGCAGCATAATGATCGTTGTAATTTGGAAACGATTATCAAGCTTGTTGATGATTTTGTTCCGTATCTCATTGATAAAATTAACAAACTTATAACTCATGACTTTATTTACAAACAACAGTCATCTTTTCTAAGAAATAAAAAAGAATCATTAAAAGAAGGCGAAATTCTAGCAATTTGTGATTTTTCTGAAAAGCAATCATTCATTATCCAGAACGCTGCTCAAGAATATCACTGGAATAATTCTCAAGCAACAATACATCCATTTGAAGTTTATTATAAGAAAGACAATAAACTTGAAAATGTTAGCTTCATTATCATATCAGAAGTAATGACTCACGATACAGTTGCAGTTCAGTTGTTCATCTCAAAAATGATAGATTGTATCACAATACAAAAATAAAATAAAAAAACTTTGCTAGTCTGTGTAGATTTCAGTCAAAGCATGGATTAGAAGCAGAATGGCATTTTTTTTGCAACGTCTCATGGAAAAGGTCCCTGTGATGCCATTTCACAGTGGTCCAGGAGGGTGTTTTTCAGGTAAAAACTAAAAAAGTGCATAAAGATGCAGTTTAATCAAGTTGGTGTCTTCAGACAAGTTTAGATTTGAAAAAAGGCGCATCTGATCGAGGGGTCGTCCATAATTTAAATCTCTTTTAACAAAAAATAAAATTTCTAACGTTTTTATGCGGTTTAGAAAAATAAAATGTTCCACAAAATTGTAGATCTTATCATTTCCACAAACTTTGCTGAAATCATCAATAGTTTAAATCGTCGTTTTCACTGAAATATGAAGTTTTTTTTTAAGGAAGGTCCCTTCAAGTCGTTTTTTCAACCATAACTTTTTTATTTGATTTTTTCATGGCATACTATGTAAGAAAGAGTTTTTTTATTTATCAAAACAAGCAACTTTCTAGAATACTTCAACACGCTACCTCACAAATGCAACATGTTATGAGGGTTTATGTGTTCAAAACATACGATATTCTGGTGGATAATTTGCAAATTGGGGCAACCAGTTTTTTAAACTAATGATGTGATAAAATTCTACGTGCTTTGATGAACATTTTCATGTAAAAATATCAGAGGTGAATTCATTTTTCATTCCAGGACAGCTAATTTAAAATCATGGTTTTTAGCTCAATTTTACTTAAAATTGGCTCTTTTTTGAGCTAACTTTTATACATGGTGGGTTATGGATCAAGTTTGGTTCTGGTCACCTCCCCGGGGGCATCCGGGAAATGCCCGGAAGTGGCTAATGTGGTCATAGATACTTAATATGGGCACCATTGATCTTGTTGTTGAATTTTGGTGTATTGTAGATGACCTGAACGAAACCGACACATTAATTTCGTGCAGGTCATTTTCTCTGTTGACAGCGCTTAGATTTTTCCCAGCACGACCACTAATAAGATTGGGTATTGGTACCGGTAACATAATTCACAACTTTTGTATCAAACATACTGAAATACAGTTTTGGAACAACCAGAAGCTCGATACCATTTGATCGATATATGGTTGGATTCAGCAGACCGATTTGCCTTTCGATATGCTCAACTTATTGTGACGTTAATTGTGCATTTTCTATGGCAAACAGTAATTTTCTTGGGCGACATAAAGTAACTGATGATGGTAGAGTATTGACCGAAACAATTTCCTCCGTAGCTGACCCAGTTTTCTTTGCTACTTTACGCAGAGGGGTCGAGAATACGGATATGTGCGAATCACTATTCTCCTTAACTTCGCCGTCTTTGAGCTCGTCACTAAAACCTTGCTTATATTTGGCGTGATTACTGCTGCCATACCCACTTGTAGATAACGGTTAGTTCATATCTTCCATAGAACTGTTGCAGTTTTTCAACAGGAACCTGACTGCTTATTAAGCGGGCTTAGTGTGGTGCAGAAGTTCTTGAAGCCTAACTACTGCCACGGATGGCGAAATTGATATTCCTGTATAAGGCATAAGTGTAATTACAGTTTTAGTTCATCCTATACTCCCTTTTAAAATTTACCAGATGGATAATACATTCCAATTTCCTACATATTTTTGTTGGAGTTGTAATTTTTCCACATTTTTTTGAAAAAAATCGGCAGAAAAAGTTTGGTCCTTCTCAAATGTTAGTCTAGATAAATTTTGGAAAAACTGAGTATGCAAAAGTGCTTATTTAGTCAAAGTCTACACATCCAGAAAATTTTATTGAAATCTGAGAGGGTGCTGCCAGCTTCGATTCGATTTGGCGCGAAATGCGTCTTTTGCAATTTAAATTGAGAAAAGTTCAGCCACAGGAATGTTATGTATGATGGTTCATTTTCTCAATGTCATGATCCCTTTCTAGGATTAGATTATATTTTTTGGGTACTATGTAAAGCTCTGAAAATTTAGAATCGGTACGCTTTCAATCGGATGTATCTCAGAATCTGGTTGGTTTAGAATAAAACGTTATTAGAAGAAAATGTGATGTATCTATTTTAGTTTAAAGATACAATATGGGGTTTGCGATTTTTATTCCCTCCCCTTGGCTAGTTTTTACACCTTTCTGTTGGTGGGCGTTCTTAATTTCAAGTTTTATAGTCGAGTGTTGGAGACGGTAGGTTTATGACCTGCGTTGCTGGCTCATGCCACGTTAGAATGGTGACATGGACATGCAATGAGGATTACTGAGCTTCCCCTCTCTTATGAACCACTGCATGAGAGAACCAAAGATCTAGTCTAGCAGTGATAGTATCACACTTGTTATTCCTTTGTTTGAGAGCCGCGTTGCAGTACGCTTACGTATAGGCACTGACGTTGGGTGCGATACTGGCGGGTTTTGCCGCAAATCAATCTTATTTTATTTATTTTTACGCAGATAGATTTATTTGGGTTTGCAAGGGAATTATACTATTAAAATATTTCACAAAGTGCCCAACAGTGCTCCTTCCATTGTTGTTTTCATTGAAGTATTACTCAGGGAACAATGATAAACACCATTTTTGTACATGGTATTGTAAATAATCTTATATATGCTTCATTTTGATTTGGGATAAGTGTTTGAACTATGGCTCGGGATTTCCACTGTGGCGTGTTTCTATTGTGACATACTCATACGTATTTTTGTGGTGCGAAATAGTGGAAACGTGTGAGAATAGTTGGAGCATATACCCTATTGTTTGTACAACGTCATATATGTATATGTACAATTACCTTACCCACTGTTTCGATACTACAGCCTACAAAACCTCATACAAAACAATAAACAGTATCTCGAATACCTCCGCCATGGCAAGACGGTCAAGCAACGTAGGAAAAGTTCTGCCCGTGCGCGATCACCTATTTTTTTTTTAAAATCAGCTAGGAAACTAACTTCAAAGTGAAGCATTTTAGTCACTTGAAGGTGTCACCTGGACGAACTAAGATACAATAAATATATGTAGATCAAAGTCAAAAGTACTTGGAACACGTTAAATTTTAGATTTCAAGCACACGTACAGGTACTTAATAAAGCATGGATTATGATTGATTAGGTAGATTTGAATTATTTATTAAATTAGACAAATGAACTTAAATAAGAAAATTTGGACAGTCTACTAACATTAAGAAGATTAACAAAAGAGTTAGGATGCGGGTGGTCCGCTTAGGGAGGCAACTAGTTGTAGAATAAATCTACCTATTTAGTATATTTGTTAATTACAGGCAATGTCACCAGTGAAAGCCATATTCGATCACGCGCTTACGAATAAGTGAGGTTTTGGGAAGGATGTGTTAAATATGTTGATATATTAGGTCTGTTATGCTTTAGTATGTTTTCGGTAAGGTAGGATATGTAAACAAAACCCTTTTGAGCAAATTTTCGAAAATCAATTCATGAAATTTACAGGAAAGCAAGATCCTTATCGAATAATTTATCGAAAGACAAGTGGTACACCTTAATTGAAACATTAAGTTACGTTTTAAAACAGTATTCTGCTCCAATGAAGCTTGACATGTCTTACATCTAACATAATAGTAGTAGAAGTGTCACACGATCTAACAACAATTTCCTTACAAATAGTGCTAGAATGGTCAGCAGGGCTAAATACGGATCGAAACTAACATAGCTCTCCCTCATTTTAATTTAATTACCTTCGGTGATTTGATAGATTTTCCAGATTTCATAAAACAAGATTTACAGATATTGTAAAACATGGGCTTCTGTACGTTTCCTTTTCAACTTTTACTATTACCACTGTTACTCTGACTATCCC